CACACACACCCTTCAGGAGAACGGACAGTGGGAAGGAGCAGCTGGAGAAGGATGACAAGCTCTTCTTCAGTGAGAGGCAGGAGAAATGTTCCACAGGAAAGATAAGCACTCAGAGGACTAACACTCACCAAGAAGTCAAACTATGGTCGACTTTCCACCTGACTACAGACAAAACAAAGAACCTACTGCATCCACCAACATGTCAACAGAATACATCTCCCAACCTTTAACCTTTATAGACTTAAGTTCACAGGAGTTTCATCAACATTAATTTCAAGAAGCTCAAGTATGTTTTGAGACACGGGTATGAAAACATTCCCAGCACAATCGCCGGAGCCTGCAGATTAGCGGCAGAGCGCCTAGAACGGCAGCATGACCACCATTAGATGTGAAGGACTATGACACATCCCACACAGCTTGTTACAAATCCTGCTCACTCACACACACCAGGAGGGCGGCGGCAGGGTCAGGCTAATGAATATTAATTGATCCATACATTTTATCCAATGAAATTAAGTCTTCACACACAATACATTTAGTAATAAGTAAATTACAGCTCAAACCAACCAAGAACCAAAACCAATTCTTCACTACATTGTGGTCTGATCTTAGCACATTGTCCGGTTTCTCTGCTATCTACGGCACCTACCAGCTGACACGTCAAATCAATTTTCCTGAAATAGAAGGCTAAAGACATCTTCCAGGATTCTTAATCTTAAGTATGGTGGCTCTCTTTGGGGGTATGGAGACCTTTGTTCGTTCACACGCCGTTAAGTAAGCAGGTTAGCAGCTGCTAGGTCATGGCATACAGTGAGTGTGAGAGACATGCAGCTCTTCAATGGCTTTAGTGAAGCCAAAAGCATCTCTGTGGGACTCGGCTGCACGGATGACGTCCCGCAGAAGCAGTGCTTCAGCCATCGTATCCATCGTGCGGTTAGATTCCATCTAAGCTGACAGCCCGTTAAAAGGCGGCAAGGCGTGGCTTCATTCCAGCTTTGTGACGGTATAGAGAGGCCCTGCCGGGTGACCTACCTGGGATTTCTGGGTGCTGGTGGGCCGCAGGTGTCGGTAGAAAACCTTCTTGACCATGTCCGGGAACAGGCACGTGATGACGACGATGATTATGGCGAACCAGGCTGAGCCGCTGGAAAGCAGCTGTACGAAGACGAAGTACATGTCCTGCGTGTGCAGGAACGGCCTGGGGGGGGGGAAATCAGACAATCAGCCTTTCTACCGCATCCCACAAAGCCCAAAGACACCCCGAAGGCCGGCTGGAATCAAAGGCTGTGGGATATGTGCAGTTCTGTAATGAAATGCCCTGTAAACTCTGCAGAGGAGAATCCCAACACTTTTAAATGGATGAAAAGGTCATTAAAACACACATTTAATATACGGCGGCGCTATAAAGTTAATTGGAAAAACAGCGCACGGGACCTTTGCGGAATCAATCGATTCTGTTCATTCAAGCTACACGCTTCCGTTCATCTGTCACTGCAGCGTGCCATTTATCCTTCAGAATTAATACAAACAACGTTAGCCTTCAGTACCGGTGGCAGCGGCCATTCCTGCAACACCACACAGACTCACCATATGATTCCCCCGTAGAAGAGAGAGAAGATGAAGTAGAAAGCGATGGAGCCCCAGGTCACAAAGTGATTCATCCACGTCCAGAAATGAGTCTCCAAAGCCAGCTGCAAGGGGGACGGCAACAGGAGTGAATGGACAGATAAAAGAAAAGGTGAAATAAGAGCAGACTGTCGTTTCTCGTCGTCGTAGCAGGAATAGCAAAAAAGGGAAGGTTTTATTATCCATATCTCAACGATAGACTCTTTCTAAAATTAAATGCGAGATAAACATCACTTTCTCTACTCCATATACCATATCTTAGCTACAAATCAAACCACAACTGCACCTTTAGAATAAGACAGAACTTTACTGATCCCCGTGAGGAGATGGTGAAAGACAATCTTGCTCTCCATGAGACACACAGACATATATACAGGTGAGAGACGGTTTGTGGGTCACAGCACAAGGTCGGCTGGCGTTTAAACAATGTAATATATTCACACATTGCACAGCTTTTGTCAGGCTATTTGAAATGCCTCACTGATATAATAAAATAGTTCCCATGAATACTAAAGACAACTTGGCATATATTTTATTTTAAACACCCAGAGTTTTACTCTCTGCCGCTGAAACATTCTTGGGTGTGTGTGGTGATATTTGGCACGATATACTTACAATACACAGGCTAATCAGTGTCCCCACGATACACAGGCTAATCAGTGTCCCCACCACGACACACACTGCTTTTCTGTATGTGATGGATAAGTTGAAATGCGCTTACCTTCAGCGTAACAGTAATGACCATCACAGTGAACACGAGGGTGCCAAATGTCCAGTTTCCAAACATCTAAAAACATAAACACACATTGCTCCATTCAGCGTAACTGTGCTGAGGCCAAGTACAGTGAAGACGTATGCACGCACGCATTCTTTGTGGGGACCATCTAATTTCCGCGGGAAAAACCCTAATCACAACCTTAACCCGTACCCAGCCCTAACCTTAATCATAAGTACCCAAACAAAAAAATAGGTGTTTTGACTGCAATTACAGATTTTTATAAAACTGAGTTTCCCCTTGTGGGGACCGAAAAAAATGGTCCCCACAATATAAAAATAATCATCACATTGTGGGGACCCAAATGTCCCCACAATGTAATATATACACATTACACACACACACACACACACACACACACACACACGTGACAGAAGTGGACACCTAATAAAGCTCTTGAATAATGTCAGTCAGTTAACAGAGACTAAGACAGAGCACTTGGTAGTCAAATATTGTCCCCTACTTTCAAGTATAATTAAACAACTGGCTGCAGAGAAAAATTAATATCAAACTAATACTGCACAGAGTACAATATAAGAAAACAGTAGAATAAAACAGGATAGAATAAAACAAGACAGAAAAGATTAAAGATATGATGTCAGGTAATAGACCCAGACCATATATCTAATCTAACACAGTCAACTCTTACCAGTTGCCTGTTGGCTCTCAAAATCTGCAGGCATGCACAGCGTGAAGAGGAGGAGAAATGAAAAAAAAATAACAAAAAGAAAAAAAAAATACAAAAATCAAAAGAACAGACGAGAGGCATGAAACAGTGAGTGCCTGAACACAGCCTTAACACACCCTGAACACAAGATTCAGCCAGCACAACCCAGGGGAAGATCTCCCAGCAGGAGCTACCCTTTAAACTGGGATTAAAAATGTATAAAAACACATGCACCCGTACACACACACACACACACACACACACACACGCACAGCACTCATCCAGAAAACTCTGCAAATGCTACCTTCCAAACAGGTGGATTAGCTCATGCGCATCTGCCACTCAGGTCAGCTGCGATTCACCTGGTTCTACAGCACAAAATCCGACAGTCAGCGGCTGGGGGGATGAGGCCATCGGCTGGGGAGATGAGGCCTCCACCAGAGGCTTTAGCACCCTTACAGCAGATCATCATCGCCCTGCTCACTGCGAGTTCTACAGCCTCGCTTTTTACAATCCCTGCGACTCTTCCAGGTTCACTTTTATAGAACATAACCATGAATCATCATTTTAGGGGACTGCCGCGATTTGAATCATAAGGCTTAAGTTACAGGCGTCTCAGTGTCCCACCAGAAGAGATAAATACGGGGGGGGGTTTATATATATATATATATATATACATACACTGGGAATGCCTGGACTGCAGTCCTGCCCACAATCAACAAGGCACCAACTCAGGCTAAGTGCTTTAAACACTAGGCAAGCCCTGTCAATCCTGCCCATCCTGGTGAATATAGTTATTCTCTTCCTGGACAGAACTACTGTATCATAGGGGGCGCCCTGTCCGGCTGTCAGCCTAACTGATGGAGGCCTCGGAGCAGATGCACAGGGAGCCATAACATCCCAGAGTCACCAACTATTAAGCTGCTACAAGGAGTTCATCAGTCCACAGAGCACACAGGAGACTGCTGTTGGGTGGGGACTTCAAATGCAGTTGAGCACACCCCCCCCTCCCCCAACTTGACATGGTATGCCCCGTACGCACCTGCCCGTTGCCCATGAGGGAGGTGTCCTCGCCCATTAGGATGTAGGAGCCAAAAAAGAAAACAAAGGCGTGAAAAAACCCCAGCAGTGTCCAGTACAGGAAGGTTCTGAAGGACAGGAGGGAATTTTTACTGATGTCTCTGTCGGTGGGGGAGGAGGAAAATGAAGAGTGTTAGTTACTCACTTTTATGCAAAATGACACAAAACTTTACAAATGACAAGCTCTGAATGTAGCAATTCAGCTTAAATACAATAACAGCACAAGAACGAAACAGCTATTAAGTTACAGTCTGGTGCCGAAACGTCAATGCTGCTAGCTAGCCCTGTCTGAGAAACCATTTTACCCACATTCATATAATATAAGGGCCGATAAATACGTGAAGAGCAGATGATATTTTCTGTTGCATACCAATTTCTGCGCAAGGTCTTCATCACATGCCTATTAGTGAGATATTACATTTAGTGTCCCCTATGGTGGGGGCAGGGGAACGGCTTGTCTTACCTGTACAGACCTGGCTTGTTCTGCAGCACGTGTGGGTGAACCAGCTGCTCAAAGAGGCTGTACACCAGGACGGGCAGAGACGTGAAGCAGATATTGTACAGGGTCAGATAAACACTGTCGTACAGCGTCTGAGGATCGGAGACAGGAAGGGCTTGTCAGTCGCTGTGGCGACATGAGAAACCAATAGCATCACTGACGACCGTGACATATGACACGACGGAGGGAAGTCCCAACTCCTAGCCAAGCCCACAATCAAATGATTCCAAGTGAAAGTGAATGTTGAGCCTCTTTTCCATTCACAGACCTTACACCCAATGGTGGCATTCATAGCTGGGGATCAGGGGTCTACAGTCAGCAATTAACAGCTCACACAGAAACAGGACAGCGAACAGAAACAGCAGACGGAACAGACACAACTTACTTGTTGTGAAAACAGACAGAAGAACTGGTACAAAAACTGGGGAGTGATAAAACACACATTCTAAAAGAAAGACAAAAAAAGATGAATTGACATTTACTCAGGTAAAGAATATACATATTCAGTGCTGAGAACAAATTTTTGAAATCATCATCAACGTGAGAAGTTTCTTGAACTTACCTTGTAGAAAAAGTACTGTACAAGGGTTGCTATTCTAATATAGTAGAAGTGGCCGTGGACCAGGAGTAATTTGGCAAGGAACCTAAACCTCGCTATTGCATAGTCACTGTTTCGCACAGCTTGTCTCCCCTCTTTGCCCATGATGCCTGAAAAGAATTTAATTCAATAGATCAATTCTTGAAACTCAGCCAGACACTGTCGCAATATTAACCCTTTTAGTAGATGCATGAGGCCCAACTCCGCTGTTCTGACCCCAATAAGAGGTGTCAATGGCAGAAGGTAATCACTCAAAATGTACATTTTGAACCCGTATATGAAAAACAACATTACAAACTTGAGTATTTTTTTTTTTCCTCAATGGCCCAGAACGTTACGATAAAACACTCATCTGAATCAAGGTATATGTAGGGAAGCAAACGATAAATAAATTAATTCAAGACACAAGATAAGACAGGAGGTGAAATGAGACCGTTAATAGTGAACATTTACCTATAGCTGCACTGAAACGCACACTAGTGTGACATACAAACTTAACAAAAATTATCATTATATATTTATTTGTATTTAAAACAGGTCTCTGATTTTAGAGCCCTTCAGAAATAAATTTGCAACGGTTATGTCTAAAAATATGCACCGACAAACTAAAAAGACGCATCACAGGTTATAAAAATGAGTAACACACTAATAAAGTTAGAAGTAAATTTTTAATAGATTGTTGAAGACACTTAGTGCTCCTATATTATTCTGATGTTGAACAAGTGGGATGGAATGATTACTTCAGATTTTGGTCAGATCCCTTGACATAATTATCATCACTGCAATCCCAAAACTCATTTCTGCATGCTGCAACAGGTCCACTAAATGCCACCTTTAAAAGGACATCTGGTCTCAAAGAGTAAAAATAAATCAGATTTGGACATGGAGTTCTTTCATATTAAAGCAGAAATGGAAGGCAATAAACCTTAAACACAGACGTTCAAAGGAAGCCGTTAATTTCATTTGGTTCTGTGGTTACCGATGCCGACGTTGGCCTCCTGAATCATGCTGACATCATTGGCTCCGTCTCCGACGGCTAACGTGATGGGCTTCTCTGGGCAGGTCTTTATCAGCCGCACGACCTGTCAAATTAATAGCGACAGCTGTTAGCCTTAGCGTCCGCTCGAACCCTTCTAAAGGCCGCCATAACTCACCAGGCTAAATGGCACAGGGGAGACATCAGCCGTCCCTAAATGGCACTACGGCAAAATACGATTATATTTACATGCTGTAATGCGTTTAGCGTCCTATTCGTTACAGTGCAGGAGAATTTAAACTAGGGAGCACTATGGGGAGGATTTGGTGTGGAGTTTAAGATTAAAGGGAAGAGACTGGGTAGTGGTAGGTTGTAGGTTCGAGGCCCTTTAGCTGTAAGTGCAGTACCAGAATTGTCAGTGAAAAAGCTTTATTGATGTGAAGTAGTATCAGTAAAAGCAATCCCTAAATTATGAGTGTCTTCAGTAGAGTGTAGGAGGGCGGCCTCACCTTGGCTTTCTGCAGGGGTGCCATGCGGCAGCAGAGTACAGCCGAGCAGCTGCGGCACACGTCCATGAAGAGGCGCTCGTGCTGCCGTAGAGCCAGCGACAGGCTGGCGCCATCCACAACCAGGCCGTGTTGGATCACGTGGTCTTCCCGGATCCTGTGGAAAGGGGGGGGGGGGGCACTTTACTGACGGGTGTGTACGCGTTTGCGTGCAGGCGTGTGGGGGAGGGGCCGCGCTCAGGTTTCACCGGGGGTCGGTCGATTCCTCAAAGTCGTCGACTCATGGGCTTCCTCCACATAAAATTCTGTCGCAGGTCCGATCGGGTCGATGGCCCATGTTTTATTCAGATGGTGCGTCGATATCCCAGCACCGACGACGGACGCCATTGCTGGCAGAGCTCGCGTTCCCCATCGAACACGACACGTTTAGCGTTCAGCTTTCAGCAGGATGTTAAGGTGATGCCGTTTGGCATGATGAAGGCCAACGGCAAAAAGCTTATGATAAAGACCTCTTATTTGCGGTGTTACAAATATACAAATATTTTGTACATACATCTGTGGAAAAACTTTACCACTCTGTATTTTAACCAAATCTGCATTTTTAAATCCTGGTTTAATCCTGGTTCTGCTGGCTCAAGGCTACGCTGATTTCAAACTGGTTCAAAATTTCTAAGACAGCAGCACAAGAATAAGGTGAAGCAGGAGACACTGGGAACGACCAGAAACCAGCCAGGTAAAGGGGCGGCGGAAGCAACTTTCTAATGCCAGAGATGACCGTTAACCTATCTGACAGTTTCTCATGAACTGAAGTCACCTTTAAAAGGAGTGAGAAACATTAAATGCCGGTATGAAGTGCTCTGCTAGGACAGTTCGTATAAGTCCCACAAAGCAAGGAAGGAGTCCTTCATTAATGAGAAACAGAGAAGAACCAGGCTGAAGTTTGCAAAAAAAAATTATTCAGATGCACACCCATGAATTGAGAAATGATTGAAATAAAAAATCGTGCTGTGGTCTCAATTTTTTCTGCGGTGTGTATGTATATACGGGTATGTAGGTGTGTCTATATATATATACACATAATTTAGTATGAAGGACTGCAAAGATCAAACTAAATTTTCCCAGCAATACTGTAAATAAATATATTTTTATTTCACAGTTTGTCTCAGTATTTCTATTCTGGCCCTACATCAAATTATATGGTCCTTTACTGTATAAAGCACATTTTTAGATCAGTTTTTGCCCACCCAAAGGAATGAGGGCAATCCCAATATCCAAATATCCATAACATACCATCCTAATAGAAGAATTCTGACCATCTTCCCTGGAGTATAGGATATGCATCATTTAACTTGCAAAGTTTGAGCAAAGCTGTGAGGCAATTATTTATTTATTTGTAGTTTTTGGCTATTTTCCCACACTGGTGGCGATAGCCTTCGAGTCCTGCAGCTGACTTAACTGAAGTTGGGAGGGTAGAGCAAGGGGGGGGGCCTTGGCCCTTGGCCTACCTCCTGGCCAGCTGCCGCAGCTGCTCCGCGCATTCACTGTCCGACTTCTGCTGCACCAGTTCCAGGATGTTCATGGTTCTGTGAAAGTGTCCGCAGGAGAGGCTGACGCTCACCGCAGTCTCATGTTTGTCTCCAGTCAACACCCACACCTTGATGCCAGCCAGTCGCAGTGCCTCGATAGTCTCCTGCACCTTCTCCTGTAGCCTGCAGTGGGTGCGGTGACACTCAGCATGACGTCGCATACCCCCCCCCCCCCCCCCCGGAGGTCAGCCAAGTCAACAACTCATTAACCCCTTTCTCAGGAAGCCCTCGGTTTCACAGTTCAATAAACACAGTGGTTTCATCTGGAAATGGCCCCCGCCCAGAGACGACTCCAGCGAGACACTGGCCACCTCAAAACGAAAGAGTTACCCCCCGCCCCCAACCCCTGCTCTAAAGAGCAACCTCGGAAAATGTGCTTTGGATCGACCTCAAAAGAAAGACGAAACACAGGAAGACGCAGTGCACTTGGTCTATGAAGTCGCAGGCCATCAAGGCCAAGAAAAGAAAACAGGAAGATACGCGTACATGAAGGGGATTAATGCTGTTCCATATTTGGGGGTGAAGGGTGGGGAGTGGGTTTAAGTTCACGCCCCACCCCCAAGCACCGACTCATGAGTGCTTCTCTGCAGTCTTTCACAGCAGGTGGAGGAGGAGAGGTGCCTCTAACAAGCCACCAGCCAATCAAGAACGATGACTCACACCGGTGACCCAAAGTGGATTATCGGCGAAGGGTTCAGAGTGGACAAGCCACCCAGGGAGCTGAAATGACTCAGTCCCTGCTGTCAGATCCAGTGCACCACTGGGGATGATCTCATCTCCTGACCTGGAGTCGGGGGGCCAGTCTTGGCAGCGTCCAGACCACGGCCAGGGTGAGTGAGAGGGGGAGGTTTCACTAAACCTAATTCTGTGTCAGTTGACGGCCCACAATGCACCACATGCCAAAGCCTTAAATGTCACATGGCACTACAACGGAAAAAAAAAAATTGAGCAATAACCAGCTATCAGTCACTGCGAAGCGATTACTCAGAAGGGGAACGATGTCAGCTACACCCTGTCAGACGGCTGGTGACACAGGCGAGGCTCAAACAGCAGTAAATAAAGGAAATAACGTTCTTGCCGTTTCAGGCAGACTGCGCTCTATTGCATCAAGCTACTCTACGTGTGAGGATGCAGCTGGAGCATCGCGGTGCTGACTGTGCAGCCACGTCGCACAGGACGTCGCACAGGACGTCGCGCAGCTTCGCCGCGCAGCTTCGCCGCGCAGCTTCGCGTCAACCTACTTGTCCTCTACGCCGGTGGCCCCCAGCAGCTCGAGGTCCTTCTCGATGAAGCTGAAGACCTCGGCCAGGCGCTCCTCGCGCTGCTGCAGCGCCGTGCGGGCCTCGTGGAGGCGCCGGTCCACTTCCTCATACTCGGCGGCGCTGAAGCGCCGGCAGGCCACCACCAGGGTCCTCAGGCCTTTCTGAGAACACAGACCAGAAGGCACATGAGGGATTTGGGCTCATTTGGACAGAGAGTAGCCAAGCACAGCATGTCAGAACCTCCAGCAATTGGGAATTTCATTTATAACAACCAGTATGCATGCATCCACCCACCCACGCACGCATGCATCCACCCACCCACGCACGCATGCATCCACCCACCCATCTTCCAGTAATTTATCTAGTACAGGGTCACAGTGACCATAAATCCTTTTGTAGTCCTACACTGACGATGTACCTATTTTTAGTGACATGCCAGTCCATCACAGGACACTCATATGCACACAATATGAACATTTCAGAGATGCAATTCCCTAGTAATAGGGAAATAAATTTACCAAACACGAACCGTCCATCCAGACTACAGCATGGTTCTCGGGGATGATGAGTGAAAAGCACAGACAGTGGAAACCGCTTACAGTAATCCTGTCTGTCTGGGCAAAATTGATCACTATATGCAGATGATCATTATAACTGATTTTTTTTTTTCTTCTTTATGTTTCAGGCAGATATAAGATATAAGATAATAAAATGGACAGTGCCGCTACTTAATTTTCTTAATTTCAAAATACGCTACAGCTGTTTCAAAACGACAGTACTGTACAAATGAAATTATTGAACTCAGTATACTTCATATACGGTATAATACAGCACAGTACTGTACATGAAATGTAGCTTATTGTAGATTCGCTGCTGCATTTCGGTGTCTCGTTTTTGGCAGTTTATCATAAGCTTCAATGAGTCTATATTTGTCATTGAGGGAAATCTTTTTCCTGTTGTTTTCTGTGCACAAAGCATTAGCCTCAGGTAGCCTAACTAGCCAGAAGCGGATGGGTTACCATAAGGCAAAGTAGGGCTATCAAAGTAAAAAAAAATAAAAAAATAAAAAATAAAAATGCAGCAGCAATTCCATATGATGTCATGTTTAAAAAGATCGCTAATGAACAATGTAAGCGGACTACTTGATTACTATAAGCTAATTATTTAAACAGTATTTGTACAAGAATGATTCTGTCCCAAGCTTCTTGATCCATACAAGAAGTTGATTAATATAAGCGGTTTTCACTGCACTTGCATAACTTTGCAAGGAAGCTCAGGGTTATCAGAAAGTCAGGGTGTTCCTGGGGGAGCGACTGGATGTGCGGGGACGTGACAGAAGCAGATCGGGATGAGGCCCCCCCACCCCCGACTCACCAGAGCGAACTCGTCTACGTGCAGACGGGTCTTGTCCACCTCGCCGGATTTGGCGTGAGGGAAGATGGACGACTCGGCTCCTTTAGTAAACAGCACCTTCTCGCCTGAAAGAGCGAGTCGCCAGGTAAGGAAAGAGAGCCGCCCCCGGTTAGACGGATGCAGAGTAAGAAAAAGAGGCTCGCTCCGAATCCCCTTTACCTGTCGGCGTCTGTAATATGACGCTCATCCTCCTTCGGTTTGCGTCAAACTCTAAAACGTGCAGCAGCTTATATCTGCAATTTAAGAGGGATTCTAATTTCTAAAAGGTACATTCTTGTCATTTAAGTCACACAGAGACATTACAGACCTGTTTGAGGAGGAGTTAGCCTCAATCTAGACCCATGTAGCTGTGACCCTGTGTGATCTTGTTGAGTGGTACACTATTTTCTTCCTTTATTATTCCATTGTTCTGTATTTCAATTGTTGTTTTCTAAACTTTTCTCTTATTCAAAAGTTCTTGAAAAATACCAGAATCACGGTAAAAACTCAGGTATACATTAACCAGAAACATTCAACATATGTACCTTTCAGGAAAGGGGCTGCAAGAATACACCCCATAACAAATTAATGTGGGGGGGGGCATACCTCTCTGATTTACCAAACGTCTTGATTTCCATGATTTCCCCATTGTTCCCAGTGAAGGCAACGCCCATTCTGTGGTGGTAAACCGAACAAATGCAGTCAGACTGTGATTAAGCTATTAATAAATGAATGAGTCATGACCCTGCTTGTGGAATCACGCTACGTGATTAATTAACACTGACCTATTAAAAGGACTGTTATTACATACTGTACCCATTTCCGTGCTTCTATTATAACTGTGAGGACTGAGAGGATATCACCATCAATCCTGGTCTGGGTAACTCTAAGCGACAGATGGAGTGAATGAACCTCCAGTATTTTTCCTAGATGTTCATCTTAACACATCTGCACTCTGCAGTTTACGGCAGGTAAGGTCTTTAATTTCGGAGAATTGCTGTAGCCTCAAACTGAAGGGATGATTTATAGGCTAGCCAGGCTTCAAGGTACGTGGGAAGAGGGGCGTGGCTATTTTTGGTTGCCAGGCAACAGGGGCGTGGCCTGCAGGTGCAGCCCCACCTCTTCATGGCCTCCACCAGCGCCTTCTCGTCTGGGGATGAGGCGTAGTACTCCATCTGCAACGAGACACCATTGGCGTGGTGGAAGGAGTCGCGGACACAATCCGGCTCTTCGTAGTTGATCTGCACCGTGTGACAGAGTGACACGGCCTTCAGGAAAAGCTCCTCCTCTGTGCTCTGCAGAGGGCGAGGGGTCGGGAACCAAGACAGAGAAAGGGTTTGCCAACTAGGTAAATGGGAACGGATTTATTAAATAAACACAGGCTTCCAACATAACATAAACAAAGTGACATATGATTCACAGGCTCTAATGTTACTTTCCCCTGCATCCTGAGATGAGCTCATCCAACTGTATACAGTGAAATAAGCCAGGACAACACAGGACAGCCTAAGGAAAAACACCAAAACACAGGCTGCGGAGTTTACAGATTTCTAGTATTTCTGTATTTTTACGATATATTTAATGTCATTTGGCTGGTTTTCCCTTAAAATTTAATTTTAAATGTGGATCTGAGAAGCCCCCTTCACGCACAAAACGTGCGTGACCTTTTACGGCAGAGATCGCTAATGTTTTGGAAACACTGGCTAATCAGTATGCATCAGCATCGACCTCAATGGCCTGCTGCACTAAAACACACTAAACTGGTACCGTGACACATGTAAAGTCAGGTGTCTTTTTGCACAAAGGACATTTACCTTGATGCCCTGGGATTCAGGCCAAAAGGCATCAGGTTCAGGAGTGAGGCTTGATGGATAAGCTTCCCAGGCAATTCCCAGCCCTTGATTAGCTACTTGATCACTATCAGTAAATATGTACCTGATAATGTGCACTGATGAGGAAATTTTGACCAAAACTAATAACCGAAATATCTTTATCCAATATCACACATATCGATAACTGGCTAACAGTGTTGGCCATTTCAGGTCAAGAAACTACAAATTGTTGATAGAAACAGAATCTTGGTCTGGATTTTTACTTTCTGGACCTGAAATGCCCAACACTGCTAGCTAACCCTCGAGCCCGAGTCCTTTTACAAGCGGTGAATAAGCCAATGAAATCGCTCATCCTCCACGACAGAAAATGGCTAATCGTCTAATGCAATCATCTATATTACTTAGGCAGTTGCTTCTTATGGTCCGGTGCTGCAAAGTTTGAATACTGACTAAAGTCTAAATATTGCCCCGTAACATTGACCAAGATTGATTTTTATCAAATATTGGCCACTATTGATATGTTAACGAAAACATCGTGCATATCTGCCTACAATAACGTTAAACTAGTAACTTGGGGTTAAAGTCACTGCAAAGATAAATGCAAAATCAGAGTTGGGGGAGAGGATTCCTCCTACCAGGAGTGGCATACAGCCGTCTGGGGCATCGTCTGTCATTCCCTCTGGTACCAGCTTGCCATTAATCTCCTGGAACTTGACCCCGTTGATGGAGCACTCCCGGAAGTGCATCTCGTTCTCGGTCAGGGTGCCCGTCTTGTCCGTAAAAACGTACTCCACCTGCAGCACACAGAGTGCCATCAAGCGGCGCCCGTCTACACCCACAGAAGGTGCCTCACCGCAACACGCCGCCCCCACCTGGCCCAGCTCCTCGTTGAGGTCTGAGGTGTTGACCTGGGCCTTCTGGTCGCTCTCCATGTGGTAAAGGTCCAGATCCCAGCCAATGAAAAAAGAACCTAGGAACTTCTGCATCTCCACAGTCACATACAGTGAGATGGGGATGATGAAATTGTAGAGCACCAGGAAAGCGAGGAAATCAGAGATGAACTTCAGGATCTGAAACGGAAAAAAAGAGAACAAAATATCAAGATTCCAAGTTGGATGCCATTTCAAGCTTCTTCTCAGATTCTACCTTTAAAGCTGAAAAAAAGAGAAACCAACATTTAAAGTCTACAGAAGGTCCTTGTGATGGCCAGCAGAGGTCTCCTAGTTACCTGGCTGCTGTTCCTCTCCTGCTCCGTCTTCCTGTTGTAGAAGGGCTCATCCCACTTGAGCTCAGACTGCCAAGCGTACTTCAGGATAGTGCTGAGAATGGCCTCGAACAGCAGGATGCCCAAGTAGATGATCAGGAAGGTATTCATCGACCTGAAGCGAGATGGATGATGACCTTGGTAAAACGGCGAATACCGAGCTAACAACAGGCCATCTAGATGCCAGACGTACTTCTCCACAGCCGAGCGTTTTTGCGATTTGCACTTGTAGTTCAGAGCCATCTTGGACTCCATCCCCGTGTAAACAGCCACTCCTGTAGGAATATAACACGACCATAAACGCTTAAGACAGCAGACAGGAGAACTGGTAAAGAGGGTTTGCAGGTGCAAGTCCAGTGTATCTTCAGTCTTGTCTCTTCCGGCAAATTTTCAATTCTATTTCAATTAATTTTTAAATAGCGCCTTTCACAGATCGCCTCAAGGTGCTTTATATTGGTGTAATAAATTAGTACATTATTTGTACACAATAATTCAAAAACAGGGAAAATTTAAAGAGAAACAAATAGAGAGCGAGAGAGAGAGAGAGAAAGAACCAAAAACTCCCAAGTGGGGAGAAAAACAGACCTCTGGGGGTCCAAGGTTAACTAGCTGCCCCCCCCCCCCGACATGCTAACATTACTGAAAGGGTGCTGTAGGTGTAAACCATTATGGCAAAACCGCATGAGTCGATTTGCATGAAACACCAGCTAAGCAACTGTGTCATTAAGGGGAGACATTTTAAATTAATAAAACAATATGACAATCAAGAATACAGACACAAGAAGGAAAAACACACAACAAAGACTGAGAGACAGAACCCTACCAAAAATTTCCTTGGTGTTTTTCAGTCTCGCCCCACGAAGCAGAAGGTTTTCTGGTCCTAAGGGTCTAAGACAATCAGTAGAAGTCAAAAGAGGGCAAATATTTTGACAATCCAGTCCCCTCCAATTAAGCATCATCCCCAAGAGTGCTACGGTCCATTTGTGCATTTCCATTCAACGCCGCTATTGAGATACACGTGCCTCTCAAAACAAACAGATAAGACAGCAGGTGAATGGAAGAGTCTTTGTGCTCAGAAAGGCCCAGAGCTGAATTTAAGCACCGCTCACAAGCAGCGGCTGACACACGATGCCGATCCACGGGCGAGCTTAACCGGGCAAGCGATTCAGCAGGACGACAAAAGGCAGACTATTACCTTACGATCTCTTCCCCCTGCTGCGACACAGTGATCCGGCCAACGAACCTGAAAGGAGAGAAGGCCTCGGTGAGGGACGGGCAGGCTGACGGGGGGCCTGAAACACGACTAAAAATATAACCGATTCCAGCAAGCTGCAAGGCACCGCCAGCACTTAGTCTCAGTACCTGTACAGGTCCGGCTCTGGCTGCTGGCACTCTACCACGGATTGGAGGGCCTCCAGTTTGGACACGGTCTGGGATACAGCCGTCTCTGGGACTGCAAAATGTGTCTGTAGCGAGGGAAGGGGTGAGGTACACAGGTTCTCTCACATACCATGTTGTACAAGTGAGTACAAGTGGTCCTGACAAATGCCAAAAACTCAAACCTTAAGCTTCACAAATTTATTAAAACAAGGTCATATAAAAATAATAATAATAAAAACCTAGGTAGCATTATTAGGATCTACCAGTTCCCAGAATTCCCAGGGAGTGTTTTGGTATCACCCAGAATACGGTTTACTGCGTCCTTTAATGGGGACTCTCGGCATGGAAACTGGCTGGGGGGGGGATCCTGCATTGCTAGCGCCACACTGTCGCTACTAAAACACAGCAAAACATGCAGCTTTACACTAACACAGGTCAAAATGGAAATCACTGCTGCTGACATCAGCGGCCAAAACGCTTCCTGAAAACAAAGGGATACTTTTATTTCCCGGTAATATAATTTCCCTCAGACATGTACGACACTGTCTGGCGACGGCGGAAAACAGAATTTAATTTTTGGGTGGAATTCCCCCCCTTTAAAAAGGGCAGCCAACGATCAGTGGTCGCATTTGCCGCATGCCGTCTGATTACCCTTTCAGAGTATAGAGGATAATCGAAAACACGAGGCTCGCTCTCTGACAGGCGAAGCAGAGTGACGGTAAGGTGAAGAGACACCAGGAACAAGGGGCCATGCATCCTACCCATCCTTAAAGGTTAAAGCCCTCCATCCTACAATGTCAAACTTTCCATAATTCTGTGTCAAATAAGATCACCCCGATTCTGAAATGGGGGTGTACAATGATGTCAGAGATTTGCAGTGCACCAGGTGCACACGCACACCCCCACCCACTCGGGAAGGTTCACTGGTAATCCGTTTAGCTGTGGCAGTCAGAAGCCATTAAAAGCCCACCTTCAGATTGGTCTCCCCATCCAGGCTGGCGGTAGTGATGTGACACGTCCCCTCTTCTCTGTCAGATGACAGGAGGACCAGATCAGCCGGGAAGGTCTCATCCTTGGCCACTCGCACGATGTCGCCCACCTGAGGGTGAGAAATTGCATAGGTTCCCCTGTCAAGATGCCGTAAGCGTGCAGAAAGCATGTGGTGTTATATACACCGTGAAACGGCAACCTCAAACGGCCACAGCTGGTGACCAATCATGGCAGCCAGCTGCATCCTCTTTCAGGCCCTCAGCCTGTGCTCAAAAGCAGAACGAGGCGGCGGCAATAAAGCAAAAGGAAACTGCAAACTGGTCTTCCTATAGCACATGGTGTGCCAGGACCCCATCTAGGAGCCCAGCACACTGCCTGATTTTTGAACACTTCTTTGTTTCCTTTTGGGCTTAATAAATCATCTCCCATCTGATCAGAATCTCATTTCACCACAAAACCACCTGATATCAGCTCTGGTGACCAGCTGGGGCGAAACAAACCTGTTTGTTGAGATGTTTATCGGCTTGCTTTTACTAACACACACCGCAGAGCACAGAGCGAATAAATGAGCACCACTTAAGAGTTAGTGTTTCACCCCTCAGGCTGGTGAAGCCTCAGAGATAAGAGGGCTGCCACCAGCTCCTATAGTAGGGTACAAAAATCTTAGGCAGTCAAAGAAGACAATGTTGGTGTAAAACTACAATGTAACATCTATCAATGTGTGTCAAAGCTTAACCATTTCCAAACCTCTCCTAGTTGCCCTAGTATTTGCAGCAGCCGTTCAAAACACCCTTGTATTTTCTGACTCGACTACCACCCACCTTGTTTGGCTAATCAATATTTCAGTGAGTCATTTAATTAAGAATTAATTAATAAATTAATTAAGTGAGCTGGTCGTAAAATGTAACAAATACATGGAACGGCTGGGGTGCCCCTGAGGAGAGGTGTAGGAACTGAAGTGTGTCCTTCAAGCTGTCCAACAAGATATCAGTAACTTTTCGGAGAACAGGAGAAATTATTGTTCGTTTTTATCATGTTAGTGTTAATTTGCATATCGTCTATTGCAGGGACGGCGAACCTGACCTATAAAGAGCCAGTGCGGGTTTTTGGCATGACCTCTCAATCAGCCAATAATAAAGCAGAGGTTCTCAGCTCCAGTCCTGGGGACCCACTGTTATTGGCTGATCCCAAACACTCACCCCCACACCGGCCCTCCATGGATCATGTTCCCCAGCCCTGGTCTAATGTGAATTTCTTCATAGCAGATATACCCTTAGTACCCAAGTAAATAGCGAAACATTTTCTTTGACTGCCTAAGACTTTTGCACAGTGCCGTACATCACCCCCCTTACATCACCCCCTTGAGACTCTGTAGCCCTCCATGCACCCCCTCCAAACCTCCTTCCCCTGCTCTGGCCCCCATCCCCCCCCGTAAGGACCCCAGCCACTCACCCGGATGTTCTTGGAGCGCGTCTGCACCAGGCTGCCACTCCGCACCACGAACACAGGTGCCCCGTTCACCTCGTTGTCGGCCTTGTGTCTCAGCCAGTCCTCATAGCCCTGCCGCGGGAAGGGGAGGGGTGACGGCGGCAGGTTAGATTAGGAAGCATGGGACTGCCCCCCCCCCCCAAGCTTAGTGTGGATCGGGCGGCCCGCCAAGATCAACATTTACAAGTGAGGGCTGAAGGTTCGAGGAAAGAGGCACTACGTTTCTGCTGAGTTAAAAGGCAAACCAACTGAGGCGTGGCGTGTTGGACTCAACTTAATCACGTTACAGTTTAAAAAGCTTTTTAAACACGACAAATTCTCTAGTTCGTCACTCAGGCTATGGCCTTATTTTGATCTATTCAGAAAACAATGACTGATGTCTCCAGGGTGGCGGTTCAGGGGCTTAGAGAGAATTTCCTTTCTGGGCTCTTATCAAAGGCAGCAACCACAGCTGGGGATGTGGTTTGTTAGTGACGTGGAGAGAGTGGGCAGGCTGCTCCGCTCTGGGGGCCTTACCTGCTTAATGGCCGTTACAGTGATTACAAAGAAGAGGGGAAGTCCGCTGGTCACAGGAGAAGTGGGAGTGTCTATCATCAGCTGAATGACAAAGGGGGGTAGGGCGGACTTGTTACACCAGCTTGTAGCATCGACACGTAAACGACACCCTAAACAACCAGTGGGTTTAAACTGTACCCCCCGAGGACAAACAGCATAAATAAAAAAAAATAATTTCACAGGTGGGGGGCAAAATTTCCCAGCACGAGTTAGGTTCTGGGCAAAGAACTGGAGGAGCGGGTAACGTTATCTAGTTAGCGGCAGAGGAGGCGGGCCGTTAGCGGCAGGCAGAGGCTGGTGAAGTGGGAAATCAGAGCCAGGTGAGTCAGAGCCAGGTGAGTCAGAGCCAGGTGAGTCAGAGCCAGGTGAGTCAGAGCCAGGTGAGTCCAATAGCTAGCGACATGCACGGCGAGGCCTTACACACAACCCTCACAAGCAGGCTGAAGAAGCCCACTTACCTGCACCAGGAAAATGATAAGAAAATAAAAATTGGCTATTCTTCTAAATTGCTCAAATAAATTCTTCGGAACGAAATTCCAAATAGTGTACTGAAAAACAGAAGAGAGAGAGGGAAAAATGTATATTTTTACAATCACTTCTTTAGGGCAGTGCACACACATTTACTAGAGAACAGAAAATTAGAACTGAAAATTCCGGTCCTGGAGAGCTACTATCCAGTAGGTTTTCTATCCTACCATGAGCCACATCTGGCCCTGGTATTTACCTGAGAACAGGTGTGGCTCATCAGAAGCCGGGTATGATAGAAAACCTACTGGACAGTAGCTCTGCAGGACCGGAGTTGGAGACCCCTGCTCTATCCTGTAGAGAGAGAGCCCATGATCTAGCCCCAGAATCTGACATTACCTTGGACGATATGATTCTGTTGTCGGCAAACTTCTGGGGGGTGTAGTGACCATGCTGGGGAAACCGGTTGGCTATATAGACTGTTCTAGTGTCACTCTGATGAGGCGGGTCGAAACCCTAGGGGACAAGTTGGCGGGGGCAGAGAGGTCAGGCGGATAATCTGTCACGGGTGCCAGACAAAACATGTGCTACTGACTGAAGCTGTCAAGTGTGAAAAAGATTAACAAAGAACAATCAACAGCCATACAAGGTACTAACCTGTGCATTATTTAACCAGGTTTTTATACACCAAATCCATTCCACAACAAAATCTCCCTGCACAGTATGACAACAGCTGTCCAGCTTCCCTCCTGCTTATCACATGCTGAGCTATACAACAAAGGCTAAACATTTAAAGGTAAATTAAAAATGCTAGATTTCATAAACTGTAGAAGCCAAGCGCATACAAAAAAAATCCAGTAAACAGGCAAAAAAAGTGGATTATTCCCCTCAATGGCAACAACTAACAAAGTCTGAAGAAAATACAAGAACTCTAATGATTCTTAATAGTGATGCCAGGCTTACAAACCCTAGTTTTGGCCTCGTGGATACGGCTTGTTAACTCGATCATTAGCTTGATCGTGATTGAGAAAATCAGAACTGTAGCAATTGCAGAAAACAAATGCAGTTGTTCTTTCCATGCTGCCCTACCATAGTTGTGGGTGCTTCCAATTACAAAGTGCTCTCTGCCAAAGAGTCATTTACTCTGCGGTTGGGAACATCAAACACATAACTGCCCTGCATCATATATTGACCTTCAAGGTCAATCGACAGTAACCGTCACTAGGTGTTAACAGAGGGCCCAAATACCCTCAACATTCTGTGTTTCACATTATACCACCAACAAATGATAAATATCGAATAATTTAGATAATGATCAGTTTGTTTAATTGCTTGATTCAGGTGTGCTAGTGGTGGCAGAGAATATGGCAAGGCAGAACGTCCCTCAAATAATCTAATAATGAAATAAATTGGTTCTTTAATATCATTAATGCAGTCTGACCCCTTACCCCATTGTGAAAATTATATTTTTCAAGGGTCTCAGTTCCTCTCTGTGGCCACAATGTGAGACTGTGCTGAAACAGCACGAAAAAGACACTAAAAACCAAGAACCCAGAGCATCTCAACCCAAATCCCACACTCACAGAATGCACAGGAATCGGCTCAAGCGTAATCAAACACCAGCACGGTAAAGCCACATGATCGCAGTAAACAACACTAATCTGGCATCGGCATGTTTTATGAGCCAACAGACAGCAGTTATCAGACAGCCATCTCTCGCAGCGCTGGCAAACACTTCCCCCTGCATTTCAAAAACCGACTTTCATCACCGATGCAGTTGCCTTGATTCTGCCAACAGCTGGAGGTTGCCAGTGGGTCTGGGTTCGTAGCCTAGCTTAACTGGTGAGACAACGAGGCTGGGGAGATCTTACATTTCAACACTAATTCCCCAATGTTTTCAGCCAAAGCCATGCAGGTGCGCTAGGCTGGAGCCCACCGCACAAAATAGGCAGCGAGATGTTTATTTACTACAGATTATTCAGCGTATGAGTCACCACAATACTCCTTTCACATCCTTGCACTTCAAGGGTCGGCATTTCCAACCCTTTCAGGAGTATAAACACAATTCAGCAGCCACTTTACACCTTGAAACGCCTCCTTCCTCTCCAAACAACAACACGGTAATTAATAGCTGGGGTCAAATGAACGAAAACAGCACAGAAACGTTCTCTCTAGGGGTAGAGGTTCCAATCCCTGTGCTCTAGGGAACCAAAATTACACTTAAAAGGGTGGGAAAAAGGTCCTATCAGGTAAGCAAATCAAGAATCCCAAGCATTGGTGTTTCCCAATTTCCTGCTCCTCAACGTTGCACAGGTATTTCAGGCACAACCAGTATCTGACAAGATAAACACGGGCTGCCTAAGAACCAGGGAACAATGAGATGACTTTCTAAGTGCAACACCTAATCATATTATGTTCCAAGTCTGCAGGCAGCATTCAGGACAATAAACCTTTAACGTGAACAAAGAAATATAAACAAGTGTACTAGGATACAAATGATTCAAAGCGGAGGTCATACAATGTGAACCGTTACCTAATACACCAAAGGCAGCCAAGCGGTCTACGGTAAGTTTGTGACAGGGCTCGCTTGAATTTACAAGGTCTAGCTGTTGACATGAGACCATATTAGATAACCCCTGTCACTTTTGTGGACCTACCTCAATTCCCGGGGGAGGGTTCGTGAGTAAAATGACAATAAGGGAACAGAAAACTCCAAAATGGGGAATCTACGGTCCCACAAAGCACAACAGGCTGTCGCACAACGGCATTAAGCGCACCATCTGTTAACAATATGTGGACCTCTGGCAGCAATTTCAGACCCACCTCCCCATGGAAAAAATAAGAGCGTAAATCAAACAAGGCCCTATTCAGCCAAGCTTTCACATTCCAAGCTTCCAACAAGTAAAATCCTCCTTGCACTACACAGATCTGGGGGGGAAAAAAAAAACAAACTTCATGAATGAATGACTTTACTAGACCCCACACCCAAGCCGCCTTCTGGATCCAAGAGGAGGGTACCTAGGTGTCATTCTGGTTTCCCAGAAACACCCTGCGCTCCCACAACCCTAACCTCCATAACACATTCCTAAGCGAGAGCGTCACCGAAGAGTAAAACACCACTTCGGCTGCAGAAAACAAAACTCCTGAAGATGACATTTTTAGCCCCCGAATTTGAGTTGTCAAAATCTGCCACTGTACATCAAAAGGACAGTAGCTGAGATCACATCTCTCTGCTACTGGTTCGAAACAGGTCAGCACATGCCAATAGACTTAGAATTCATTTACACCTTTACATGGCTTAGTTCTTCAAAACTAGAGACCATCTTTTGACTCAGGGCTCACCGATGCCATTTTAAAAAATCACCTCGTACCAAAGACATGTAGGAAACAAGAGCATCTTTTAAAAATCTTAATACTAAATAGATAGGCGCAATCATGTTAATGCACTATACCTACAGACATGATTTAATATGACTGTAGATTGTAAACAAAGCTGCAGTTTCTGAGAAGCCATTGCCATCCCAGAATCACCATTTTGAGCCACATATTGATACTTTCGAATAAACTTTTTAGGTTACGTTAAAAAAAAAAAAACCGCAGGAACCCAAAAATACAAAGAGCTTAAGCGAGCGACAAACGAATGCACTTTATTTCCATTAACCGGATTTAAACTTAATGGTGTTTACAGTATTCACAATACCTTTATCAGCTAAGACAACACAATAATCAGAGGATTCAAGTACTCTTTGCAGTTACTATTTTATAAAATCCAAATTATAGAAAAACACAGGGAATATTTATAGTGAAGCTATTTTGTAGTTTAATTTTGAGACATCTAGCCCGCTTTGACACGTGTCCAAATACCACATCAGAACACTGTGTGGTATTTGTGTGAGGGGAGTGGAGACTATAATATGCGATATTCTTTTTTCTTTCCTGTGTGTTATTCCCGGATATATATTTTTATTTTAACTGAAATTCTCCCGGAAAGCTGGCGGCAGTACGGCGCACACAGCGCACGACCAGCCGGCTTACGGGAGGAGAGGAGCCCCTTCCGATCGGCCCGACGGCGGGCAGGAAGACGGCATCATCCCGGTTGTGCTCCGCAATGCCACGTTACGCCGCCGAGTCTCCCCCGGTCACGGAGTCCTCGACGCCACGGGGAAAGCCGTGCACTACCGGGTGCCCTTAAAACTAACTACCCAGCCAACTAACCGCGTCGCTGGCACAACTTTTCCAGAATGTCGCACAATGCGCAGAGGCGAATTACTGCTAAGAAAAACAAACAAACAAAAAAAAAACTAACAACAAAAAAAACCGAAGAGGCCTAATGAGTTTCACAGACACGGAGGCCAGGCGCCGGGCTCCATGCATAAAAGGCACCAGACCCGGACGCCGTCGGAAACCCCCCCGCCCGCCTGTAGTATGTCGCCGGGACTCACGTCCACAGCGAGAAGCCAGTGGAGCCCAGCGCTCGGCCGCTTACCAGCTGCTGTCGTATCCAGCGCAGCATCCCGGCGGTCGCGCTCAACTTCACAAAAACATACACGACGCCCCCCCACCCCCCCGCAGCAGTCCAGCGGCTGACCCCCGCGGTGAAGCTACCCCCTGTCTACTTTATTTTTTTCTTTCTTTTTTCCCCCCTCCCTGTTTAGGTTCTCCTCTTCTTTCTCATAACTGCGTGAAAAGGATCCCGCAGGCCCGTGGTCGGCAGCGTCGGTCTCAGACTCGCTCCCTCCGCCCCCGACCTCCCCTGCCTTCGTCTGCTGCCCTCATCGCCCGTTAGCCGCAGACTGACAGAGCGCCGGAAGTGACGACGCCGCCTCCCCTGCATTCGTCCCAAGAGGGTCTAGCTGCCCTCATCGCCCGTTAGCTGCAGACTGGCAGGGCGCCGGAAGTGACGCCGCCGCTTCCCCGTGCTCATAGATATATCTATCTGCTTCCTCTCGCAGTAAAAAAAAACCCCACGGGGGACTCTGCCCGGGCACCCACGAAATAGAAATTATAATAACAACAAACTTTGACGGATGTGATGCGAAGCCAGGAATGACAACGGGAAAAGCAGAAGGAATCTGTTATTGAATAAGACCGAATGACTGCTTCTGTTGCAATTTGTGATGCAACCGATAGGTGACGCAATGAAGCCATTACAAAGTTGAGATGAGCCAATCTGACATCCAAAAATACTACATTTATCATATGTGACCATTATAAGATTAGTTAGCTATACAAAGAAAAGCGAAATCCTCTGTTAGATGTAGGATGTATTCCTCATAACTACTATGGCAATAACCACTAAAACTTGCCGAAGAATTTACATCGTTAATTTCAATGTAAACTGTCCTCTTTCCAGTACACGTAACATTTGAAAGTATGTCTTTTGAAAATGCTGGACATCAGCGAAGGCATTAGAGGTTGTATTCGTGTGTATTTGACAGGTAAATGATATTTGAGTTGCTGAGTCAGCCATCCATCCGGAATGGAGCTTTGGTTCTGGAGCATGTCATGCAGATAGTTTACTGAAAGAAGATCAATTTGTGACAATGTGGCTTTTGTTAGATGTTCAATGTTCACTGTTTGTGTTGTATGTGAGAACTATTTTTGAGTTATATTCTGTGAGATCTGTATTCCACAGCATCAAGACTATTGGCCTCATCTTACATTTCATTCCTGAGAACTGTAATTGGTTTTTTTTTCTTTCTGTGACCATAATTACAAATGTACATTTGCATTTTTACCAGATCATGCTCTCTCTCTACTTTGAAAAAGAAGAAGTGGAAGTGAATTTTCACTGTGAACAGAGTTGTTTAAATTGCTACACTTCGCATCGGATGTGAGCAAGAACCAAGAATCGATAGTGGGGAAAAAATACATTACGGAGCTACTTTTTGTTGTCTGAATTGCGATTCTCCAGATTTGATCGGTTAGATAACATGCAGATTAAAAAAACTACGGCTGAGTTTCCATAGTTATATTAGGCTACTATAGTCACCATGGCCTTAATTGTCACGTTGGTGAACTACAAAGCACTTATAGAAATTTGGGCTGTTATGCTATAATAGTATGATACTCCACTGCGTGGTCAAGCCGGGCTAATCCGCTGGAGTAAAGGTTGCGTAAAACTGGCACTGTGTTCTTATCTTCTGAGCCTGTTAGATCCTTCGGATGAAGGACCATTTACAGGGTCTTGGAATCAGGCTGGTTGATACACCGTCCAGGGAGGGGGATTAAATGTTTGTTTAGTTTCCTGAACATCTGGGAGTTGTGCCGCTTGCAAAAAGTGTCCCACAGGAAGAGGAGACTCAAGATTAGGCTGCGGGAGGCTGTGCCGCCTGTTCCGCAGCCGATTTGGGTGGGACAGATACCTGTAAATGAGGAACTTTTTTCAGGTTTCTGTGTATGAATTTTTATTTTTATAATGGAAATATTCCACGCATTTTACCATCACCCTGTACTGGAAAAGCAGTTGGAAGATGGACGGGTGAAATTTTAAAATGTACGTTTATTATTATTATTATTATTATTATTATTAATAATAATAATAATAATAATAATCTGCTGTTTTAGTTTAAATTAATATAAACTGTATATCAGATTTACATTTTTATATAGCCTAAAATTATGTAGGCCTAGGCCTATTTAAAATATCCTATTAATTGGTACCTGTAACATATTGTTTTTCTGTATCTGTCAAAGTATTCAAATTGGTTACCTAATTGAAATGATATTTTAAAATGTATTTTATTTAGGTTTGCATGCAAGCTGTATATATTTCCGTCTATCCTTAATGCGATCGCATGTATTTTTTTTGCATTTTGATTTAGCATGGAGAGCAAGAAAACTCCACTGCCGTCTGGTACATTAATTTAGGCCTGGGCCTACCATAAAATAAAAAAAGATGACAGTTAAGTGCTGAAGGGTTTTATTATAGTATGTGACGGGACAGTACACCTCTCAAAACGATGCACTGGATTCCGGGTGTATTCACGACCGATTTCTAAAACTGAAATAAGGGCTCTTTTATTGGGCCTGAATCACGTCGTGATGTGGATGGATATAATCTCTGATCTAATATAGGAGCTATTCGATCTGTTTAACCAAATGCGATCCTTGACTTGGTAGTTGGGGCAGGGTGACTCTCTCCGAGGTGAAGCGATTAAAAGAGAGTCCTACGGGCGCCATGTCTCGACGCGACCGGCAAGCTGAATTAGCGTTAACATACGTAGCACGGGACGGTTCCCGGCTGCTAACCCGCGCCGCGGGAGCCCTGGGATTTATGCAGCTATCTATCCACTGCCCTTGGGTCCCGATCGATGCAAACCACATATGTACTGGACACATATCCCCCTTGTTTTACATTTTTAAATATAAATAAACTGAAAGTTTATATTAGGAGACAAAACAGTAACCACAATTGAAGTAAAATTATAAAATTATATAGGCCTATCTGGGTCGGTACTTTTCATTACTGTTAAGTATTTCCCATTGTAACATACATAATTATTAGCAATGCATGATCATATTTAAAAATAATATTTAATTCACTGTGCAGTACAATTTTTTCAACAAAATCAGAGTTGCAAAAAAGAATGATGCAATGTGGCAATGTGAAGGCTTTTAAACGTATTTTTCATCTTCACATTAAAACAACTTTAAAATTGTTTGGCTGCAACGCTGGAAAAGGGTAAAAAAAATAACTTTCATAACAATAAATAATTATAGAGTTTAAGCTTTGTTGCATTGACTAGAATAAAAGTCGGTTGAGAGCGAATTATGTAGGCCCAGTCTTGCAGCGAGGGTACGTTGGTGCGTAGTTTCATAGCAGGGTAATTCTTGTCGGTGATGTCCCTCTTGTGGATAAAAAGGGAAATGCATAAACAAAATATAGTAGGTTCGCGTTCTACCCGAGTTAAAAAACGTCGTATGCGGTTCTTTTAATTACGTGGCGAGACTCACACGAGTCGTATATTTTAATAAGGGAAATGATAAAAAAATGTTACCAGAACGCAATTCGCTTATCATCAGAATCAAAGCCATCACGTGAAAATATGATAGTGCTAATGCCATATTTAACTATTCATAAGTTTTATCAGTAAAATTAAATTATACACTCTAGCCAGGGGTTAAATCAGAATCGGAGAAGAGGGGGTGGCCTGTCAGGTGCAGAACGGGGGAGAGATCCTGTTAGATCCGCTTTTTATATTTGTTTAGTAGTTATACATATTTATGAGCACAGTCTTAAAGATACAGTACGTTCATTTGTCGGCATGTTGTCGCCACTTTAAAGCGATATAAAATAAACTAAAATGTGATTGAAAGGTTATTTTTATTTGGTATGGGTATCGTTCATAACATAACACAACATGTAAATGAAACTTTTGAGAAAAAGGTCTGAAGTAGTCTTTGTCACAAGTTGCAGTTTTAATCCACCCAATGGCCGTTGCTATGTACAGTCTGTGTTGCCATATGCTAATTAAATGCATTACAGTGTCACTGGATTCAGTTAATGTCACCTCACATGCTTTTCTTGACAGGAGCACTTTAATGATATAGACAGCGTTGGTTGTATTCACTTTGTGTGGTGCAGGCAAAAATGTTATTTTGTTATTTAATACATAAATATTAATAGGTTTTTCACAGTATACAATACAAACATCTTACATAGGGTTCTGTCTAGGTGGACACTGGGTAATCATGTAGGATGTGTCTCTTTTTCTAAGTGGTTAAAGCTCAATATAGTATTCCTGTCTGACGGAAACCATGTATGTCCACATTTTTGATGATTGTGACCTTTTTTCTAAGATGGAATATGCCCGTTTTCCACTGTCTACTGATGGTGTTTAATTGACCAATGAAACAATGTTTTACGAAGTCATATACTTCCCCTCCAGTCAGCCTTGCCCCCCAGTTACCCTTCTGGGGGGTTTATTAGTCTCATAACTTGTCCCTGCCCCCTAGTTAAATGCTCCCTAGTCCTGTGCTGGCTAGTCTGGTCATGGTTGGTTGTCTGTGCTTCTGCTGTCTTCATGAATAAAGTCCCCTACATGGGGCTTTACCTGCAAAGTGTTGCATTGTGGGTCGTCTCTTGTGACATTATGTTTGTAGTAATTATCAATTATTTTCATGATGGTCACTGGTATGGATTGCTTTATATCACCGATTTTAACAAATTAACTTTGATAAGTCGTTATTATCATTGTTAATTATGAATATATAGAGATTAGTTTGTATCTTGTTGACAGTGACATATTTGCCTAGCTGACAACAATCTGCATAAGTCCATTTAAAACATTAAACCATTCACTGATGGGTGTGTAAAGACATTTGTGGTGCAAACGTCTCATTGGCTTGTTTTAGGTTCATTTCGTAAAAATAATGGATTTTTGGAGATGTGTGTTTTCCATTGGACAGAGACGATATATTAATGTGGTTGGCTGTGAGTTATATCTAAACATGCTAAATATGATGTATAAAGAATGCATTAGTTTGGAAGACTTCAGGTTGAAGGCGTGAGAGAATCTGGAACTGACCTGGTGTAATTGTATTTTCTTACGCCATGGAGACTACGTTGTTGGTCTTGATGAACTATGCGTAGACTGTCCACTTACTGTGACTGAATTCTTCGACATAGGATTCAAATGTCCAGCCCTGGGAACCATAATACCCACTCAGCTACCATGATGCCCCGATAATGGGATTGTTTTTCAAATACATCGACTACTATTAGACATAATCAAATGAATATTGATTAATTGGTTATCTGGTACTGATTTGTAATCTAATTATGCATCTTCCTGACTTGCTTTGTGACGGTCTTCTGGACGATGACCTCACAGCGGCTGTGATATAATGCTTAATAAAAATTTCATCTTGTTATTGCACAGGATTTCAATTTG